CGCAGTTACCATTGCAAACACCCCGTTACTGCGCGTTACTCAGGTCGCACAATTAACCTTTTTTCATGATAGGACTCGTGCACGCCTTGTCATGAGAGAGGGGAGGATGAGAATGGCTGATGTATAGTGAGATTCCGTCTGTCAGTTGGGTAGGTGGGTGTTTCTGCTGGTGGGTGATAACGTACAGCACACACAGAGAGATGGAGAGTGAGGATGACTCCAGCAGCAAAACAGCGTTTTCCAGAAGGAAATACCGGTGTTACGTCGAGCTGCGTGTTGGGTTTTTAATCCAGAGAAATGTGAGTTTAAAAGATTAAAAGGAAAATGATCAACACAGAGACGGGATTTTGTGACGTCAGCGTGTGCCGGGTGGAGAGAAGATCCTGGCTTGGAAAGCCATCACCTTCTCCCACCGATCCCTTCATGGCAAAGCCTTTTATTAACAGTTTACAACATCAAACAGGCGGGCCTAAAACAGCAGACCCAATAATCATTGTCTGGGAGGATGCAGGTAACAAGATAGTGTGAATTGACCAACTGGCTGGATGGAAGTCACACATCCGTGTGATTCTGCCTCATGACCTACAGGAGGTCATAAAAGTTTATGACCCTTCTGGTTGAAACACAGAATAGTTATCACTCTAACATTTCCCTCCTCTTATACATAAAAACATCAGCATATAGCACTTCTAAAAAGATTTTCACTACATACATCATGAATGCATTGCAGATAGGGAATTCAGTAATCAAAGTTTAATATGCAAAACACAACTATATTAAAAGGAAAATTCAAGCACAAAGGTAAAAAAGAATGTAAAAACTTTAAAAATAATCTGTCCCTTGAGTAGGCAAAAACTCTCCAATAGAGAAAAAATTCCTACCCAGCCCCTCCGGAGGAGGCGACCATTATCCCTGTAAAAGATTACATAACTTCATCATCATCATTATCTTCATCAGCATCTCGGCGGAGTTGAGCATAATTGATAGCTGAATATTGGATTAGAGTGGTTCCTATCATTTTCTGAAACATTGATTGCAGGCATGGTATTAAGCAACAAATAAAAAGGAAAAATATGATTAACAATCCTATAAATGGTGAAGCTATCTTCATCAGTACCTGCCACCATGATCCCATGGTGAACCAAACTGTCCATGGTGCTGGAACTGCACCGTATGGATGACTTTCTGTGGATCCATCAAAAATCATCCTGCTCTTCCTTTGTTTCAGACGGTCAGTTTGAGTCCCTAGAGACACCACTCCAACGGTCACCACCAGGCAGATGAATGTCGTTAGTTTTTCCATCTTCATCAGCTCTTAGTTATGGGGTTCCTGTGAAGGTAATTGGGCTTCTTTGCTGTGGAAAGTTTTTAATCAGTTTACAATGACTCTGGTGGATCCAAGTGTCTCTCTCCTGGATTTTCACGGCAGTGGGGGTTGTTAGTTGCACTTTGTAGGGTCCTTCCCACCTCGGAGCTTTCCAAGTTTTCCTTTTGATGATTTTAATCAGCACTCGGTCTCCAGGCTTCAGGCCTTCCTGTGGGGAAACAAAAGGAGCACTAGGCAGATTACATGTTTTCCGAACAGTTTTGTCGCTGAAAAGCTTCAGCATCCACTTAGCGGGTCAATGTCATCTTGTTCTTTTTCTGCCCATGGCTTTCCTGTTTCTGCCATGAATTTTCTCAATCTATTTTTAACATCCTCGAACCATTTAACTGGGTTCTGTCTGGCTGGAGGTAAACCTTGACAGGCAGTCCGCATCTCTGCATCTGTCCATGGCCCACACACAAGAACAGTGGGTCCACAATCCAGTGGGTCACCATCTTGGGGTCCCGTGCGTTGACCACAATGAGGGTTGGCCACCTCCAACACCGGAAAAGCACATGCCCCCCTCCCAGGATCTTGGTCCTGTTCTTGTTTTTTTAATTCAGCCAATCTTGGATAAATAGGGGCAGATGGGCCCCTTCCACAAGCCTCCACTTGATAATCATCCCTGTAACACTTCGAATCAAGCTTCACATCCCTCCCTGATCCTCCCAACTCATGCTCACAAGAGTCAGAGGCACTGAGTTCCATACCATCCACAGAGGACGACACGGACAGGGGGCCTGCTCCTGCTCCTCCAATATCACCACACGATGGTGGGGCTACTGGAGGAGGAACAGTGGCATGGCTGTGTTCACATTCACCGTGATGGGGTTTATCTCCACCTTCCTGTGCAGCTGATGCCACTGCTTGAACCCCATCACCCCCTTGAATTTGATTAGGGTCAGGATATTGAGGAAGCATACGGGAAACAACAGTTTCTTCATCAGCTTTAACTTTTACAGCAGCAATTGTAGCTGTCTTTCTATCGTTCTTCTGTTGTATTTGGCTTTCCTTATTTTTTGCTTGCATAATCCACTTATTTAACTCTTCTAATTCTTTTCTGTATTTAGCTTGTTTTCTTTTTGATTTATACACCAACTTCATCTCCACCTTCTGCTGAATCTTAGTCAGCGGCTCAACTTTCAACTTTCCATCCCAGTCTTCCTTCTCAATCCACTTTCTGGCAAACTCTGGGTCACCACCACAACACGCCACCATCCATCTAACATCATCTGGCATTTCCTTCTTACTACTGCCTTGTCCCATTTTTAAAGAATTTAGTCCAGTACACAGCGGTTCGATTGTTTCCTCACACACTTTCACACAGTCACACACACCTAAGGCCTAATATTTTTTATTTTTTAACCAACATAGAGTCCCAGACTCGAATGCACAGAATACCCAGGTCCCAGACTTGTAAACAAAACTTGGTTTCGTCAAATATTCTTGCAAATACAACCAGTTGTAGCTTTCACACAAAGGGTCCCAGACCCAAACGCATAGAATACCGATCCCAGATCTCTCACAACAAACCCTATTTGTCAAATATTCTAGCGACTACAACTAGTTATAGCTTTCACACAGAGGGTCCCTGACCCAAATGCATAGAATACCGATCCCAGATCTATCACAACAAACCCTGTTTGTCAAATATTCTAGCGACTACAACTAGTTATAGCTTTCACATGGTCCCAGACCAGCTTTTAATAAAAAACCTTAGGCGTACCGTTTCTGTGCAGATCAGTCCTCAGCTTGAGTCGTCACCAGGATGTCCAGGGCAGGGCTGGACCAACCTATTGGCTCCGTCCGTCAAAGGGTGGACGGCTGTTGACAGTTTCTTGGCCTTGGTCCCGCACGGTCCTGGACAATTGGATCTTGACTCCCGGGTTTTAAGCACCAAAAATGTTGGGTTTTTAATCCAGAGAAATGTGAGTTTAAAAGATTAAAAGGAAAATGATCAACACAGAGACGGGATTTTGTGAAGTCAGCGTGTGCCGGGTGGAGAGAAGAATGCTGGCTTGGAAAGCCATCACCTTCTCCCACCGATCCCTTCATGGCAAAGCCTTTTATTAACAGTTTACAACATCAAACAGGCGGGCCTAAAACAGCAGACCCAATAATCATTGTCTGGGAGGATGCAGGTAACAAGATAGTGTGAATTGACCAACTGGCTGGATGGAAGTCACACATCCGTGTGATTCTGCCTCATGACCTACAGGAGGTCATAAAAGTTTATGACCCTTCTGGTTGAAACACAGAATAGTTATCACTCTAACACTGCGTTTCCCCATCACATACGGTTTCCCCTGCATCTCCACACAGCGCAGGCGGCACGATTCACCGCGCAAGCGACAGGAAACGCGCATGCTCGCTAAAGGCGCGCAACAGTCGCCCTGTGCTCGCACCACAGGGGAACTATGGAGAGCGTGAACAATCATTACCCTATATGGAGAAAGGGAGAAATCTGGATGGATGGATGGATGGATGGATGGATGGATGGATGGATGGATGGATGGATGGATGGATGGATGGATGGATGGATGGATACTCTGCCTTTTCAACCCACTGTATTTTTTATTTTAAACATTATTTGATGGCCTTTGTGGCAGGGATGGAGATCCATATTTTATGTCACACACAGAGTATACATCTAGATAGATAGATGGATAGATAGATGTTGCAGTATCTATAACAACCCAAACACACAGGATTTCAGAATGAGACATCCCCAGTTATTAATTCCATATACTCACCAGATCTGATCTTGCCCTGTTAAAAAACTTCACATCACGTTCCCCCCTGATGTCATTTACATTGAATTGCAATAAATGCAAAACTCTCTGCAGGTTCTTGCCTTTGTCGTTCTCTCTATTCAGCTGGCTTTAGAAACACACGGCGAGAAGGTGGGGGCTGGGTGGTGAGGGTTACGGGGGCGAGAAACGCAAAAGTAACGCAATAGTTACTTTTACTAGTAACTAGTTACTTTTATTGTGGAGTAACTCAGTTAGTAACTCAGTTACTTTTTGGGACAAGTAACTAGTAACTATAACTAATTACTTTTTCAAAGTAACGTGCCCAACACTGCTTATCTGCTTTTGCAAGGGTTTGGAAATAAGCCAATGTCAATGTTGTAGGCTTTTGTTTTTTATTTATAAAACCACTACCCCATGTACCATTAAAACAACTTGGTATTGCTTCACTGACATTGTTTTTTTTTGTTTGTTTTGTTTTCAATAAAACAATAATCATGTTGTGACTTTGTAACACCTACCTGTGCACTTATAAAAGAAAATCAGTGTTGTTATAATCTTTATCTTTTCAGCTATGTCCTTAAGAGATGGTCTTGCAGGCATTTTCTCATAATAATCAATCTGTTAACTTCTATACATTACTCAAGTCGAATAAATAAAAGCAAAAAGGAACAAACCCATGAACAAACACTAAATTCTTCCTCTAGAGCAACATATGTTAATAATAATGAGTGTGCTGTTGTTAGCAGTTGTTGACTTGTTGTAATTTATACCTGTTAACTGTACTTTGCTTGTATCTATCTTCATTTATTTAATAGTGTTTTTGAAGACATGAAAGATTTTAATAGCCCTCTTTGCGCTTTTGCCTCTCTGTGTGTGTCCAGGTGCTGCCTCGTCAGACTTGTGGCTTGTTTACTCACACTATCTACTATAAGGAGTATCCTGGTGGACCTAAGGAATTGGACAAAAGCATCCATGGGGGAGAGCTGTTTCTTACTGTGCTACTCAACCCTGTGAGTCAGTGAAAGCTTGCAAGCTGCCTAATGCAAGACCTAACACTTTTTTTTTCGTCCTTAAAAGGAACCCCACAAGGCTTTACTGCTTTATCCCTAACTGCAATTTTTTTCCTTTTTTGATCGGTCTCATTCTTGGCATCATTTTTCTGTCTGTCTCTTTTTCTGTCATGGACAGCCCCTCATTCTACAGTTGTGTTCATCTCTCCAATTTAAATTGGGTCTCTCCACACGGGGGGTTGCTGTCACATACTTCCATACACATTCAGTACACACTGAGGTTTTCCACCTCTCCCTTACCCCTGCTGTGTATGTCAGCTCAACTTGACTCTGCTTTGAATTAAGGAACAGAAAGAGGTTTTGGATGGGAATTGAAAAAAAAAATCATCCACATGTGCTCCTTTGCAAGGCCATGCTCACACGCATGGTTTAAGGCAAGCAGGGATATTCAAAGAAAGTGTCCTCCTAAACATTATCTTTCACCGTCTCTTTTTTCTTTTTCCCTTTAACCACACATGTTTAGATGCAGGAACGCACACACAGAGATGCTCATAGAGCAGCAGTAAGCTGTATTGAAGTGTCAGGTAAGGGAGTGCTGAACCAGAGGAGCTGTCAGAACTCACCCAACATCATAGAGTCAAGTGCAGCTTCCTACAATACCCCTGCCTGGCTCTTTCTTCTGTCTCTGCACCAATTTGTCTCTGTCTGTCCTTCTTTCTGTTTTTCAGCTATTTTTCCCTTTTATTTCTTTCCTTTCTGCTTTTTCACATTTTTTTTTAATGTTTTTTTGTACATTCATGTCCTATTATTTTCCCTGTTTCCTCAAGTCTCTCTCCATTTCTTGTGTTCTTTAAGGTGCCATTTGCTAAGTAGGCTTTTTTGTTTTGTTTGTGCTCTCATCTAACTTGCTTTTTGTTGAAGTGAATCCCCTTTTTCTTTCTAATGAGAAATAGGGCTTGCCTGTTGAAAGAGATCCTGATAGATATTGGCAGAAAAATACTTGCGGTTTCCTTTCACGCCTACAGGTTGAAGAAAAGAGAAATTACTTTTTATCCAGCTCTAAAGAATTCCTAATTGCTATGTATTGTGTAGCTAACTTCTTGGACAAAGGATCTGTAGCACTCAAATGTGTTTTACATCTCCCCCAGAAGCAGTAACACTTATAATAACATATTAAAAGCAATGTTGTCCAAGCTTGCAAGGTGAACCTTGTACAAGGAGGGTAATTTATGCATCTATTGTCAGCAAAAGTATGGATAGAGAGGTTAGTTGCTCTTTACCTTTAAGGTAATTTAGGCCGGCCCGGTGGTAAAGATGTACAGTTTAGTGATATTGTCACCTTATTATCTTTAGCTTCTTCTCATGAGCCAAGGTCCAAAATCTAAACCTCATTGAGGGTTGCATTGGCACACAAAAACCATGGTTCAGTTATTTTGGTTAGGTTGAAAAAGAGATATAAAAAAGGTTGCCACTATAAAACTTACTGGAATGTTGGTATATAAATTTCATGAATAGATGGGTGGGTGGGTGGGTGGATGGATGGATGGATGGATGGATGGACGGATGGATGGATGGATGGATGGATGGATGGATGGATGGATGGATGGATGGATGGATGGATGGATGGATGGAACATGTGAACAATAGGATTTATCAAGATCCAATTTTGCGTGCAGTAATTTGTGCTTGCAAACTGGAATTTTGCACGAGGGGCTGAACCATGGTTTGCGGGTGATTTAACAAGAGCGATTGCGTAACTGGTGGCAGGTGCAAAACTGTTGGAGACGCCCTATTTAAATGATGGTTTTGTGCGTTTTGTGGTTTGCAGCAAAGTAGTTTGTAGTTTGTACAAACTAGTGCATTAAGAAATTTAAATCTTACAGTGACACCCCCACCCCCTCCAAAAAAAAAAAAAAAAAAAAGAAAAAAAATTATATATCTATATATCTATATATATATATATATAGATATATATATAAAACAAACTTTGGCAACCTTTATTCCCTAAGGTGGTATGTGGCTGAATTTCTGCTTCACTGCAGTAAAAAAAAAAAAAAAACAGGTGTTTTGTATTGGCCTGTAGAAAAGTGCACATACCAAATGGCTCACAAGAAGTGACTATGGATGAGATTAACGCATCCCCACAGCATTGGCATGTTGCTTCACAGGCGCAGGGTGTCGGGGTTCTCCGGTAGGGCGTCAGGGCGACATGGCATTTAGAACGTCGGACAGCACTTCTGAAAAACGAGATTGGGAGATCCCAGCTCTCGCTGCAACCGTACGCTGGAATAACCCAGATGCAAAAAAGTGCAATGTTGCAAGGAGTTTGGTGATATCTGGTATTGCGTGGGTCCTCCTTGTGGCTGGCTCCAAATCCATTCGGAGTTCCCCCAACAGCTCCAAAATGGCAATGCTGGATAAACGATATGTTTTGATGATCGTTTCCTCCATTCATTCCAAAAATATTCACAAGGAGTGAAAAAATGCGTTCTCTGCGTCTCCTTGCTTCATTTCGATATCTCCTTCTTGCGCAACCCACCGCTGCCATGTGTGTGCAATTACGCATACAGACCATTTGCACCTTCTTTTGAAACGTGTTAAATATAGAGTCAGATACCGTTAGCAAAATTGCTTTCAGGTTTAATAAATCACTTTGCGAGTGCTAAATTAATATATTTACATGTTCTCCTCCCACAAGACGCACTTTTGCGTGTAAACGCCCCATATTGCATATTCATTGCAGAAAAGGTACTAAATGGATAAGAGGCGCTATTTAGCACGTTTTAAAGACCAAATCCTTTTAGCACGCTGTTGATAGATCAGTTTGTACATTTTTTAGCGTGCACAGTGAAATAGCTCACGTTTTTATACACGCAAACCTTTGATAGATCCGGCCCTTAGGGTAAGAAAGGTAGGGATGGCCCACTTACTGTGCCCCTGGTTTTAAATACACAGTTGTCCAATGTTACGTCCACCAGGCTTGTTTGGTGAGGGTAACATTAAAGGAGACCACACAAGGATTTTCTTTAAAGTGAAAATTTAATTTATTAAATGATACTAAAGAAACAATACCTGAAAAGGAATAAATAAAATGGGGAATAGGAAATGACTTAATGCAAAACCGATAACTAAACAGAAATAAGCAAATTCAACCAAACCTAACAAAACCCAACAATAGGACAGGATACAAACCAAACCAAGCCAAACAGGGTTCTGAGGAGGTAAGAGGGAGAAGCCTCCTGTTTGCTGCTTGCATGACAGCTTTTAAAGCAGAGGAGCACCAATTAGGGCAAAACAGAACACCTGCAGAAGGCCTGCATCTAGAACCCTGCAAGGAAGAGTGGAGAAACCCACTGCAGCCGTAACATCCAACAAGTAACAACACTATATCCGAGCAGGAGTGCCCGGATGCACCTCAGCTTGTGGTGTGGGTCTGCCTGCCCTGACTGTGTGAGACCTGCAGTTGGGTAGGGGGAAACTGGGGGTGTGTGGCGCCTGGGCTCGGATGGTGTTGTGCTGTACTTGGCCTAGGGCTGGGGTCAGCAACCCAGACTTTTCAAAGAGCTATATTGGAGCAAAAAAAATCTTATCTAACAAATCAAAGTCTTATAAAATCCTCGTAAGGTAACACGGGCGCCAATTGTATTTACCTTCTATAAACAAAAAAAGACTATATGCACTTAAATATATAATAAGAGTTCAGGAGTAGATGTTTGTCCTGGAGCAAATGTCACATCATGTGACTACTCTGCTGTACGATATTTGGTGCTTTAAGTATAAATTCCTTTAAAATGTTAATGCATCATGTTTTATTGCATTCATGAAACTTTAGAAACACAATAAAGAAATTTGATTTTTCGTGTTATGGGTGTTATAAGATTGAAGAAAGTTCACATACATGCATTAGAGCCCTACCTGTTTGATCTGTGAATGGTTTTTGATGCTTGCAACAAAACTAGCAGCAGCAGTGGAGTTAAGAGATGCAACCCACTTCTTAGATCTATCTTTTCGATGCTATAAATTATCCAGAAGTACTGAAATCGCACTTTTTCGCTCACTCCCAGCATGATGGTTGGCTGCATATTTTGCATGTCTTTCCTGGAAATGCCATTCTAAATTATTCTTTTATAACTTGACAATTTCTCATTAGAAAGCAAACATGCAGGCAATCCTTCTGCATTGGTAATGAAAGCAAATCATTTGGGCCATTCTTCTTTGGATACTCTTTTCTCATTAGCTCTCTTCCTTCTTTTTCCTTTTGTGATCTGTGGCCCGAGACATTGTTTAGCAGCTATGACACACATCTTCCTTGACAGACATTTTTTGTTTAAATTTATTTATTTTATTTTTTTACAGCATTGTAAAAAAATGAATGTTTGTTTGACCTCCTGAACACCATATAAAAAAAAATCCATCTTTTTCCCTTTCATGCATTTTTTGAAAAAGCTCCAAGTAGCACAAGGGGGTCGCTAAAGAACCATATGTGGCTTTGGAGGTGCGGTTGCCGATCCCTGGCCTAGGGGGTTGAACTGCCTCGGGTTGCGATTGCCTGGCAACCAGGGGTATGTGAGGACCATATGGTTGTGGGGCCCTTGAGAGGCATGAATGCATGAATGAGTTTTTCTAGATCCTGTTTGGATAATACTCCTTTAATCCTGGAGATGATCTTCAGGTGATTAAGGACTGACTTAGTAACTGCCTTTATGTGCCTCTGAAGGTTCAGGTCTTAGTCCATCATGACACCAAGGTTTCGACCATAATCAGTGTTTTCTAACTATAGTAGCTGAAGCTGTGAGCTAACTCTGGATCTATCCTCCTTTGGTCTGAAAATTCTTATCTCAGCTTCCACATGCATCCACGTATTGATCTGTTCTAAGCATCTAGCCAAGGCTCTTAAGGGGTTATAGTCACCAGCTGACATTGGGATGTAAAGCTGTGTGTCGTCTGCATAGTTATGATAGCTGATCTTCTTGTTTGCTATAATCTCTTCTAGGGAAGCA